GGGATTTAGAATTTATAGAGCAAGAATTGTGATTTTCTACCTTTTTAGCATGGCGCTCATAGCATACTGCCTTAAGCATAGCAGATACTCAATAGATAGTTAATTAATTAGTTATTTTATGATTACTCCATATACTAGAAGTAATACAAAATAATAAAACAAAAATAATTGTCATGCTTGGTCACTGAAACGAAGCAGCAAAACATACCAGTATTATTTTACTGGTTTGATTTGAGAAAGAGCCTGGTTAGCCAATTCAGTTCAAAATTACATTGAAGTTTCTTTAAATTGCTTGCCACCAGTGTGACAAAATCCTGTCTCACAAGATTGACTTTAATAATTTAAATGTTTCTTTGGATTTTTAGACTTGAAAGCTAAGTGCATGTGGGTGGAAAAAGATGATTCTGACTTGAGCTGATGAAATTAAGAAATATCTCAGCTGAGTAAGCTTTTGTGGCTATGATTCACTTAAAATGCAAAAGTTAGAGAGTTGTATAACGAAAGGCAGAGAGAGAGACTAATTTTAAGTACAGGTGAGGGATTTAGAACACTAAATAGCACCTTGCTTATGCAGTCAGAAATAATTTAACTTTTTTGGTGGGGAGCAAGAATTGAAAATGGCATTAGCTTTAAAGTAGGCAACAATGCGAGTATACTAATCGAGTATCTTCATTCTCCACCTAAATAAAAATCAGATGACAAAACAGGGCTGGGGGAAAAAAAATGGATGGAGATGCCCTTGGGCATTAGAATTGCCAAGACATGAGCTTCTTAACATTCGGTCAGCTTTCCCATCTGGTAGTAGCTTATTGCCAGCCCTGCCTTCCCCTGATCATCTGGACTCAGAGTTTCAGCCCCTTCAGGTGCAGTGCTATCCAGTTTCAGAGCCAACCCTAGACCAGGCTGGATGCACATTCATAGCCCATAATTCCTTAGGTGGGAATAACTTGAGCCCAGAGTGCCTTGCGTCATTCCCCTAATCATTATCCCTCTCAACTATCCAACTTAGATTCTAGGTATGAATAATTAAAAAATATATTCTTTTCTGCCTCTGGGCTAAATGGGGATCAAGAGTGAAATCAAGTTCAATTAAAGGAAAATAGAATGTTTTCCACAAATAACCAATATAAATACCTCTCTAAATAGCAAAATTGGCTTGCTCTTCGTCTATCATCACATTTCTATGGCAAAACACCAACTCTGCATCAACCCAAATATCTGTTTTCTCATGAGCAAATGAGAACTACTAGATGAAATCATGAACTCAGCAGATTGCTTCTAACACAAATTTGTTAGTTTCTTACTTGGACCCTAACACTGTCCAGCAAGCCTGCTACAGTTTATGGGCCAACTCTCCCACTTGCTGCAAGAAACGATGTCAAAACTTTTCTACTCTCCTTGAATGCCTGACTGCAACTTTGTTACATTGCTTCCTAGAGTATGTAGAAATTACTAGATAAATTATTTTTAATTTTTCACCATCAAATCTATCTGCACACTTTCTCTCTTTAGTCCTCTACAGAGGATGAATTGTTCTTCCTATCTAAGGTCTAGGGCTCTCTACCTCTTGGTTTGTAATCACATTTCTTTCAGCTTTTTGTATTGGTCAAAGTCTTCCAGAGAAACAAAGTACACACACACACACACACACACACACACACACACACACACACTATTATGGAGGCCAAGAAGTTTCATGATCTGCCATTTGCAAGCTGGAAACTCAGGAAAGCTGGTGGTGTTATCCCAGTTCAAGTCTGAGAACCAGGGTACCTGATGATGTAAATCTCAGTCCAAGGCAGGAGAAGACTGAAGATTTAGTTCAACCAGGCGGGCAGGAAGAGAACAAATTCTCCCTTTCACTGCTTTTTGTTTTATTCAGATCCTTTGAGGATTTGATGAATCCCACCCACACGGGGAAGGTCAGTTTACTTATTTCACTGGTCCAAATGAAACACCCTCACAAAGAGAGTGTATCAGCAAGCAATTTTCAGGATTGTGAAAGAAGTTTTAAAGTCTTCTATTTATGTTTGGTATTTTTTCGTGAAGAGATCTATATCTCTCATATCTCGGTCTATCTATCTTCCTATCTATCTTCCTATCTATCTATCTATCTATCTATCTATCATCTATCTATTATCTGTCATCTATCTATCATCTATCAATCATCTATCATCTATCTAATCAATCATCTTTTTTTTCTTCTATAATTCTGCCTTCTTAGGCCCATTTGGAAATTCTTGTCTTTCTATAGTTTTCAGAAGTATTTTTCTATGTTTTTATAATGTTTTACTTTCATTTTGTCTTTTTTGTTTTTTTCTTCTTTAGATGGATGTTGGATGCCTCAGATTGATCTTATTAACACTTAAATTTTCTTTCTTATTAAATATCTTTAACTTTTAAATCTTTTGTATTACTGGGTGGGAAGTCAAATTTTCATCAGGTCATTTGATATTCACCCCACATCCATTTTATTCTCTGTTCCTCAAACAGCAGAACTAGTAGAAACTTAATGGATGAGTTAAATAAATTGGAAATTTATTCTATGAGCATACTTGAAACTATAGTGCATGGAAAAATGCTCATAAGATTATATTACTAGAATTAAGTATCCATTGACCAACAGGTTTCCATTATATGCTGGGCATTGCTATTGAAGCTGGGGATGCACTGGTGAACAGAACAGGCAAAACCTATGGTTTTTATTTTTTTTCCTTATTTTGTTCTTTTGCCCTTTATTAAGGTATTACATATGTGTCCTTATTCCCCTATTGCTAATTCCCTCACCTCCTTGTGTCTCTGTCCATTGGTTAGGCTTATATGCATGCATACAAGTCCTTTGCTTGATCTTTCCCCATTATACCCTCCCTCCTCTACCTTACCTCTGAAGTTTGATGGTCTGATAGATGCTTCATCTGTGTTTGTTCTTCAGCTTATGTTGTTCACTATATTCCTAATGAGTGAGATCATGTGATATTTTTTTAATTTATTTCACTTAGCATGATACACCCCAGTTCCATCCATGCTGTTGCAAATGGTAAGAATTCCTTTTTTTTTTTTTTTTTTTTACCATAGCATAGTATTCCATTGTGCAGATGTAATGTACCACAGTTTTCTAACCACTCATCTGCTGATGGGCACTTAGGCTGTTTCCAAATCTTAGCTATGGTGAATTGTGCTGCTATGAACATAGGTGTGCATGTATCCTTTCTGATTGGTGTTTGTAGTTTTTCTTGGGATATATTTCTAGAAGTGGGATCACTGGATCAAATGGAAATTTCACTTTTAGTTTTTTGAGAAAACTCCATATTGTTCTCCACAGTGGCTACACCAGTCTGCATTCCCACTAGCAGTTCCTGAGGGTTCCTTTTTCTCCACATCCTCACCAGCACTTGTCATTTGTTGATTTGTTGATGATAGCCATTCTGACGGGTGTGAGATGGTACTGCATTGTTGTTTTTATTTGAATCTCTTGGATGATTAGTGACTTTGAACATGTTTTCATATGTCTGTCGGCCTTCTGTATGTCCTCTTTGAAAAAGGATCCATTTAGGTCAGTTGTCCATTTTTTGATTTGGTTGTTTATCTTCTTTTTGTTAAGTTATATGAATTCTCTATAAATGTTGGAAATTAAACCCTTATTGGTGAAAGTATTGGCGAATATGTTCTCCCATGCAGTGGGCGTTCTTGTTGTTTTGTTGATGGTTTCTTTTGCTGTGCAGAAACTTGTTATTTTGATGTAGTCCCATTTGTTTATTTTATCTTTAGTTTTCTATTGCCCTAGGAGCTGTATGGGTGAAGAATTGCTTTGGCATATGTCTGAGATTTTGCTGCCTGTGGATTCCTCTAGTATTTTTATGGTTTCCCGTCTTATGTTTAAGTCCTTTAACTATTTTGAGTTTATTTTTGTGTATGGTGTCAGTTGGTGATCTAGTTTCATTCTTTTGCATGTATCTGTCCAATTTTCCCGACACCTTATTGAAGAGACTGTCTTGACTCCATTGTATGTTCATGCCTCCTTTGTCAAATATTAATTGAGTATAGTGTTTGGGTCGATATTTAATATCTACACTTATATTATAGACAGCATTAGAAAAATAATTCTTTTAAAAAATAGATTTTATTGATTTTTCACAGAGAGGAAGAGAGAGAGATAGAGAACTAGAAACATCGATGAGAGAGATACATTGACCAGCTGCCTCCTGCACATCCCCTACCAGATGTGCCCGCAACCAATGTACATGCCCTTGACTGTAATCGAACCTGGGACCTTTCGGTCTGCAGGTAGACGCTCTATCCATTGAGCCAAACCGGTTTCGGCTAGAAAAATAATTCAAAGAATCCCTTTTAGCTATGTATAGTGGGAAATATTTGGAATTTAGATTCAGATACCTTGGATTTAAATTTTGGCTCCACTCCTTTCTTATAGTGTGACCTTGGGCCTTTGTTTCCTCAGTGTTAAATCAGGCTAAAAGTACTAGGTACTTGTCTTACCTAGCTCACACAATTTTGTGAGATTTTAAATACTATATTTGGAAGAACTTATAAACTATAAAGTACAAGTAAGTGCTACTATTTAATAAAAGTTATAGTTGATTGAGCTGTTAATTATGCTTCAGATACTATTCTAAACGTTTCACATGTACCAACTCATTATTCCTCATGACATTCTAATGTGGCTAGGGCTATTACCATACACATTCTTCAGATAAGAAAATATAGAAGAGATTAAATAACTTGTCTGAGGGCACACACTCAGTCTATGACAGAGCCAGGACTTGAACCCAGAAGTTTGACAGTACAGTCCTGTTTTTTTTTGTTTTGTTTTGTTTTTTTATGATAATGCACTCTAAAGTTCTAAAATAAACATGTGCAGGTAGGTTTACAAACATATTTTTATAACTTTAGTGCCATAGAAACTGGATCTCTACAGATTTATAGAATATCCCGTTTTAGCTATCTAATGGAAGTATGATTTTTAGAATATTTAAAAAAATATTTTAATTGGTGCTCGCTAAATATACTAAAATTAAAAACAATACACAGTAGATTAGCATGGCCTCTGCACAAGGATGACACACAAATGTGTGAAACATTCCATATTAAAAATATATTTAAATTGATTTTAGAGAGGAAGGAAGAGGGAGAGAGAGAGAGAAACATCAATGATGAGAGAGAATCATTGATTGGTTGCTTTTGGAGGTTCCACACTAAAAATCAAGCATCCTGAGCATGTGTCTTTGCTGGGAATCAAACTGTGACCTTTTGGTTCATAGGTCGATGTTCAGCAACTGAAGCCATGCCTGCTGGCCAGGCAAGTACCATGATCTTTAGAAAATTATTCCTGTACCGATTTTTAGAATATTTAAAAGAATTTTCTTCAGTTGCATGACATACAAATTCAATTTCTTCTTGCATGAATTTTCTTGAGACACAACAGATGATTACACAAGGCCATTTGTGTAAGTGAATTGCTCAGTGATATTATCAGCCAAAATTGTAGGTTGAGGTCAAGTGATGTCAAGTCATTATTTAAAGAAACAAAGACAAAGGGAAAAAGACAAATTGTGGAGGGGAAATTTAATACATTTTGGCAACCTAAGTGGGAAGGTCAGTAAAGGACATGAAGCTAGGGTGATGTCATTATAATTGGCTTCAGTTCAGAAGTGGCAGGGTGGCAGTTAGCCAAAAAGGCACTTTGATGTTGTTTGTTTATATATTCCTATTTAGCTATCCATAACCAGAAGTGGAGATTACAGCAGATAATTTTATAGTGGATGATTGAATATTGTAGTTACTGCATTATTTTAAGCTTTGTTTCTAAAATACAACATCTATCTTTTATTTAGAGATTTCGTTTTTAAGATGTATTTCCTCCATGCAAGCAGATCTGCAGGATTCTCTGTAATCAAAACAAGACCAACTGCTGCAGAGATAATTATTTGATGAAGTGATCTGGATATAGATTTTGAGTTTAGACAAAGCATTTAGAAAAGATTCTCATGATCTGTCAAAATTATGAAATAATCAGATCTCTGCAGCCTCTTGTCCGCTTCATGGGTGCTATTCATGCCAGGCCTTTAAAGAGGCAGAAAGGAGTCAGCTGGAAGAATGGTTTTCTTTTTTAGTTTTTCATTAGCTTGCATTATGCACTTTTCTGCCTATTTAAGTGACCATGACCATTTAAATAGATGTTACTCTATTGGCTAAATCACATGTATTTAGCAACTGAGGGCTTCCTATTGGTTAAAGGTTTCAGGTGAAATTTTTGTTGTATGTAAATATTATAAAGCAAACCTGTCCAATAGAAATATAATTCAAGCCACAAAGATGAGCCACATGTTATTTTACATTTTCAAGTAGCCACACTAAAAGAAAAGTTAAAATTTAGTTAATGATATATTTTATTTAGTGCAATATACCCAAAGTAATATTACTTATATATTTAGTAATAGAGAATGCATACAACTTAACATAAAGAAGATAAACAATCCAATCAAAAAATTGACAAAGGACCTGAATAGACACTTTTCGAAAGAGGACATTCAGAAGGCCCAGAGACATATGAAAACATGTTCAAAGTCACTAATCATCTGAGAGATGCAAATCAAAACAACAATGAGATAACATCTCACACCTGTCAGAATGGCTATTATCAACAAATCAACATACAAGTGCTTAGCAAGGATGTGGAAAAAAAGGAACCTTCGTGAACTGCTGGTGGGAATGCAGACTGGTGCAGCCACTTTGGAGCACAGTATGGAGTTTCTTCAAAAAACTAAAAATGGAACTCCCCTTTGACCAAAAAAATCCCAGTTCTAGGAATATATCCCAATAAACCAGAAATACCTATCTGAAAGGATATATGCAACCCCATGTTCATAGCAGCACAATTTACAATAGCTAAGATTTGGAAACAGCCTACATGCCTGTCAGCAGATGAGTGGATTAAAAAACTATGCTACAGCTACACAACGGAATGCTAGGCTGCTGTAAAAAGAAGGAATTCTTACCATTTGCAACAGCATAGATGGAACTGGAAAGCATTATGCTAAGTGAAATAAGCCAGTTGGAGAAAGATAAATATCACATGATCTCATTCATATGTGGGATATAATGAGCATCATAAACTGATGAACAAAAATAGATCCAGAGACAAATGGCAGGGCAGGGGGCATTAGAGAACAACCATTAGAGAACACTTGTATGCATGTATATTAGCACAACAAATGGACACAGACACTGGGGTGGTGGGGGCTTACCTGGGGTGGGAATGGCTGGAGGAAGGGTCAGTCGGGGAAAAAGGAGACTTATATAAAATGTTAGACAATTAGAAAAAAAAAAAAAAAGGCAGCACCAATACTGGAACTGATTTTGAGGCTAACCTGATACTTATTGCCTTACTCTTCTCTATCCATTCTGGGTTCTCTTCACCCTTAGTTACTACTTTTGCTAATTTAGATTGCCCAAGTGATCTTGCCAAGTCTTTCTCAGGCCACGCAGCAGCCTAACAATTTACTGTCAAATCTGGGCAGAGGCATCCACTTGGTCTTTCCTATTGATGGATCTTACTTCCAGAGGTCAAAACACCAACTGGGTTAGGCGATGGGGTTGCTCACTGCCATGTGTGTATACTCCAACATAACGTGAAGGATAGAGGAAATGATTACAGGGTTGTTCCATGGCCCTAGAGAATCTATTTATTACCATATGTCCTCATTCTGACATGGAATCCCAGATGACTTTGGATTCCTGAATAATAAATATGGCCTTGAAGTTTCTGGATATTCTCTTTTTCCAGTATATGATTACCTTAGTCAATGATCACAGGTTTTCTTTAAAAAAAAAAAAAAGTGTGTGGGGGTGCTGGTTGAGTTATTAGCATGTAGTGTTGCTCTTGGTATTGCAAAGTGATTCCTCGTGGATTCTTGACATCTTTTTCAGTCACTGGAGGTTCATACAGGATAGGGTAGCTCTTGAGAGCTCGTGTTGTATTGAAAGACATAAGTCTCTGCATTGTCTTCAAGTAAGGGGGGAAATGCTGGTTCTTAATAGGGAGGAATAGATCACTATCAATAAGCCCGGAACAGTCAAGAGAATCTGAGTATTGAAGAATTTTAAGCGCATAAATCTTGGACATTCCTGTTCCACGTTTACTAATTCCAGGTTTTGGTCTTAACATTGAGGAGTTGCCTATTTTAAAATTTAACCTGCTCCAGAATTCTGCTTACTTTATAATTCAGTTCTGGATAAGAACCTCAGCCTTCTTGGCCTTTCACCTACAGTAGAGCAGAGATTCTTTATGTGCTGCCAAGGAATCCCTCTGGCGGTCACACATTACCTTAAATTGGTGATTAATTATCTCCATTTTTTTCATTGTCTCCCCCCCCCCCCCCCCCAGTGAATTACTAGCCCTCAGTCATAGCCATTCCTTACCTAGTTCCCATAATCTTGTACTACTTCCCCCAAATCTCTTAAAAGCTTGAGATATTACCTGTAGCCTTTTAGTGCTTTCCTTTCCCAGCCTTTAAGTGAAAGTCTTAATAATTGCATTGCTATAGTATGCTAGAAGATATTAGCAATCCACCTATTACCAGTGATGGGTTATTTACTGCTAGCTATCAGCAGATGATTCAACTCCAAAATTTCATTATTTTATTTTATTATTTTTAAGTTTTAAATTTTTTTCAATTACAGTTTACACACAATATTATTTTTCTATTAGTTTCAGGTGTATAGCATAGTGGCTAGACAAAGCGTTTCCCCCAATATTTCCAGTACCCACCTGGCACCATATATAATTATTACAGTAGTATTGACTATATTTTCTATTTTAGAATCTGCTTTTTAGGAGCACTCCTGACTTCTGCTTTAGGTCAGACTTTGAGACAGAGGTTTGCATGAGCGAATTTTATTGACAAGTGCACTCAGGAATTGGATGTGGGGGGCATTGAAAGAAATAGGATTAGGCAGAGAGAGAGAGACTGAAACTGTCTGGTAGTTGCAATAAAGAAGTTCTAGAATTTATATGGCTCTTTAGAATTGTCCCAATTGAAGTATAAGGACTGGTCCTTTCCCCCCTCTTTATTCCCCTTCCTCAACCAGTCATTGAATGTGGACTGCCACCGGGGAGGGGCATAACCTTGGGTTAGGTGGCACCCAAATTCCAGGAGGGAAACTCAACTATGACCTATCAGCAGCCTATACTCCTGGAAGCTGGGTTGTGAGTGCCTTGGTCCACAGGGATGCACTCCATGAGATCAGAGGCATAGAGTGATCAGCTTCTTTGTAAAAGATTAGAGTACACAGAGCAATACTCTCAGCCCTCGTTCTCAAGGTAGAGGGAAGGAAACTCCTTGGAGCAACATCTGAACATTAAGAAACGACAACAACAACAAAAAAAGAACTCATGGAAACGAACAACAATGTGGTGATTGTGGGTGTATGGGGGCTTGGGAAAGGGGGAGGAGGGTATAGGGTGGGTAAATGGTTATGGATGGGAGACTTGACTAGGAGTGGTGAACACACAGTACAGTGTATGGATGATATATTGTAGAATTGTGCACCTGAAACCTGTATAATTTTGTTAACCAGTGTCACTCCAATAAATTTAATGAAAAGGAAAACAAAAGAAAAATTAAATACCGGACTATGTGTCTTGCATTGGTGAACATTGGAAAGAATTCTCCGATGTGGATGTTAAGGGAGAAATTATCTAGCAATTACTAGAATTCTCTTCTAATCACAGGGGAAGTTATGTTTCTACAAATTTGCACTTTTGTGACCTGAATACTCTCTCTTATTATAGTACTTAAAGGTTGGCCTAGTTCATGCTGAGCAGGTGGGCAATCACTGATAAATTTCTGTCAATAAATGATGAAAATATCTCAGTGGAGACTAAGCAAACATATGTGCAAAAATTATAGTGGGGGCAGCAGCCAGAAGAGAGAAGTGTTCCAATTCAGTTACCCCATTCAGTATAATAGTTGTATATAAATAATTTTGTCCATGATACAACATTTTCAGAATATTTACTGAAATAGATACATCACATCCCCATTAGACTAGCCCAGCAAGCATCTCTCTGGACAAACAGTTTTGATTCTT